CTGAGAGAAGCTGATGGGGAAAAATATCAAGAAAATCCTGTCAGTTTATGATCCAAGAAGACATAAGGAAAACATAAAAATATTCAAGGGAAACAGAAGAGCTCTTACCCTCTATATCCTTCGATGTGAAAAAAATGGTGAGCATTCCTGGCACAATGAATGGGTGGATTCCAATGCTGGGAACATCCGGAGAGGTTCTTGCAAGAAACAACGGGGTTTTCTTTTCTGTGACAATGCTGGTTTTGCCAAACAGAAAATTGTGCTAAGCAAAGACAGTGCTTAGGCAGCTGAGGTTGAACCAGAGGCAGAAAAAATCCACAAATATGCAAAACCCTCAGATTTTTTCCTAGTGATTACTTGGAAATAAGACTGAGTGAAGCATGTGCCACCCAATTAACTGCTGGGTAGCAGGATAACATTAATGGGGACAACTCACAGAGGTTTGTGTGAACATGAGATTAATTATGGCAATAATTAAGGAGGCTTTTATCAGTTGCACATACAGAGATGTGACCATTGTGTACTCCTTATCAGTGGTTTCTTCTCACAGAAGAAACCCCTGCAATAAACCCTGCAGAGTCTTTGTCTCTCTCAGTCCTTCTTGAAAGCCTGAGGATGACCCAGGCTTCTCAAGCTGAGATGCAGTATATCTGAGTAGCTGAAGGATTTTACTGCAGCTTTGTTTTGTTTTGCAATAACTTCTCCAGAAATAATGCCTCCTCCATTATGGCCAGGATTTTCGGATAAACATTTACCTGGACTTTACAATTTGTTAGCGGCTACAATTAAAACAAATTCAAATTAAATTTCTTCTTACTGTTTAGGAAGCCAAATATTATTGTTTGTATTACTACTGAAATTTTCTTGGTTTTTGAAATAACATCTGTCTAATACATTACATAAATTGTTTCCCTTTTGAATTGTCATACTGTTTCAGACAGTCGCAGGAGGATGGCAAAGAGAAGAAATGTAACTGTACAGAAGAAATGCTAATGACTTTTAACTGCAGAAGGAGGAAATATGAAGAAGAAAGAAGAATGCTGGAGAAAAGTGATCAGATATCATTTCAGACAATAGGGGGAAAACCCCTTTTTTTTTGCACTGGTTGTAAATGGAAAATAGAGGACATTTTAAAGGTGCTACAGCGAAGAAAAACCTTTCTGAGGTGTCAGATGTTGAAATAGTGACATCTGATGCAGACATTTCAGAATTTTTCAATAAAAGCCCTGGAAATTTGTGCCCCAGGCTTTCTTCTAATTCTGCAGTGAAATCGCAGAACACTAGGCTTTCAGAACACTTTAAGGACAGCTTGGCATCTTCCTGCTGTTTCTGGACTGGTGCAAGGGGTGGAGCAGCTGCCATCATCATGGGGCCAGCACGGTGCTGTAATCCCCCCTGGGCTGCCCACGGACAACTTCACCACAGTGCTGGCTGAAAGGAGCCCACGCCTGCTCCGGCCTCATCCCTCCCACTGCCTGCTCACGCCTGACAAATCCCATTCTTCCATGGCTTTAAAGGACGCCTCTCACCTGTTTCTGCTCACCTTTCTCTAGGTGTTGTATATGGAACTTTGCCTGTATTTATGTGTGTGAAGCTGAGGCTGATGATCTTTTTGGGAGCTATGAAAGAAATTATATTTATTGCTTGCTTGGTGACCTCAGGCAGGCACAGTTAAAGTAGTTGGTGTAGGATGTAGACATTCAATATTCAGGAGTCTGTAGTGATGTCTAGCCCACAGCGCACACATGTGACAGCCAATGCAATAAAACCCATCTCTGAAACAGAGCTAAAAGAACCTCAGACTATGTTTTTTTGGTAGCCAATTTTCCCTTTCATGGTAAAGAAGAGTTAAGTTAGATTTCTAAACATATGATGAAGAAAATGTGCTCCATCTTCTGGACAGTAGGGTGGGGAAATGGCTGAAAATTAATACAGCAGAATTTCAGACAACTATTTAGACCCTAATCCTCTGCCCAACCTTATACAGCACTGTCTGAGTAGTTCCTGCCATTTCACACCAAAAACAGTTTGAAGATTTTTTTTGTCCTTCTTTAATGCTACTAAGAAAAGCAGCTATGAAATGCAGCCAGGAACAAAGTGTGAAATATTCTGTACCAGGTAGGTTCTGCTTGCCATATTAAAATTAATAGTACTAACACTGCTGACTTTAATAAAACCTGAATTTCCAGATTGAATTCCATCAGTTCCCATGAAATACACAATATATCAAGAAATAAAAGACTACAGGAAATACCGTACACACAGGACTCTGCCAGAATTGAAAAAGGCTTTAAAAAGGGAAAAAGTTTTATAGAGTAAAGAGTATACATTTTAAAACCTCAGTAAACAGGTTTTCAACAGCTCTCCTGACTGTTAGGCATGCAGTATGCCTTGTGTACTATAAGCTCTTAAGAAAATGTAATAGCTGCAGCTTTGAGTCATTGCTAACACAGCATCCCTACTTTTTAGACAGGAAACAATTATTTTTTTCTTCTGCTACTCAGCTGCAGAAATAATGATGGGATTCTTATACTCTGGTGCTTGTTTCAGACATAACTTTTGTTCAACAAGGTGAAACAAGATAGGATGTCTTATTTTGGGGTAGGCTTTTATTTGCATCTCTAGCTTTTGTTCTGTTTTGCAGCTTGACATGTTCTAACCTAAATATGCAGCAAATAATTTCTTAGGTGGTCAGTTCAAGTGAGTTAAGGATCCTCTGCTTCTTCCCTTCAGTCATTTGGAGCTCACAGGCAAGAGATGTTTAAGAAATTGGGAAATAGATATGTGACTTTATGCACTTTTTATGACATCAAGTCCCTAATGCAATGAGTGAATAGAATGAAAAATGCATGACTTTCCTTTCCCTGCAAATGTAGCACTTTTCCACAGTTATAATGAATGTTATTTGACGGTATGCTATGCTTTTATCAGTAGTACTACAAGACTTCTCAGCATGCATTTGAAAATAGTTGTATGTAAGACTTTTCATCATAAACATTTTCAGGAATATTTGACAACTGATTCTTGTAAGAAGTGATTTTTCTAAACTTTAACTCACTCTGCTAATCATAAAGTATTTTTCTCTCATTTCTGAAATCTGTTTATAAAGGCAAGATTATAGAATGGGAAGTTCATATTCAGTGCATTAATTACCATGCAACAACATGACCATGAAATGTGCTGTGCTCTTCCCAATCAGGAGCTGATGGCTGTGTGCTCCCAAGTGGGGTTGTGTTCTCCCAAGTGGCACCTTTTACATCCTCTACTCTCTAAAACACTGATGTAGTGATATGCTTGATCCAGACAAACAATCCTACAGGCTGTGTGATGAATGGACATTCCCCACTCCCACGCTTCTGCCAGGCAGCCCATTGTGAAGGATTGTGAAGTTATCACCATGCAGGGAGTGTTTCCAATCAGCTCTGCAAACATTGTCTGTTTGCCTTTCAGGATGTGGCCAGGCAGCAGGGATGAAGGTCCCTTCCTGCTGGCTTTGGACATGCTGGATAAGGAAGAACATCTTGCAAGGAGGAGAAGGGTTCACTCTTCTCACTTCAAGAGTACTTCTGGAGAGACTCAAAGGCAAGGCCTGAGCAAGGAGGGAGCTGGTTGAGCTGGGACAGAGTAGAACCTCCTATGGGAACAGGGAACTTTCCTGCAGCAGGGAGCAAACTTACAGGCTTTGAGCATGACAGACATCCAGAAACACCGAGAGTGTCGAATGTTGTTGTGCAAGCTAATGCATGTTGTTGGAATTTTGTCCTGAATTTGCCTTTTGTTTGTTTTCCTCTGCAGATTTTTTACTATTGCTTAGAGACTATGTGGGGACATCAAAGAATCCTGCTGAGTCCCATTATGTGCTTACCTGCCCTCTGCTCTTCTTTTGAGAGAGTCAGTCAAAAATCTGAGACAAAGCACATATGAATATTCATCCAAGAATAATTCCTCCCTTGTGCCTGTAGTGACCTCTTGCATCTTACACAGGAAGTACAGGCTTTGAAGTGTAAATAAAATTTAAGTTTACTGACCTAACACTGAGATGGTGAGGCCAGGCCAGGGAGCAGGATTGGAGAGGGAGCAGACAAGAGCTGGGACAGATGGAGGGCAGCTCCTCCTAGTCATGGCTATTCCTGCTTTGCCAGTGGAGGCTCCTGCCCTGCACAATTCACTTACCTGCACACAGTGGCTCGTATGGATTTGTAGCTGCTGGTGGAGGTGATGGAAGCAGTGACCTTACACATATTTTGCTGTTCTGGGGGAAAGCTTAAATTTCCTGTGCCCTAAAGCTGACCCCACTGTCTTTGTCTGAACTTTCTTTAGTTTGCAGGGTCAGCTGTGGGAAATGTGTCTATCATGTATTTTTCATTTGAAAGGCTGCATTGTCCAGACTTTTCTTTTTATGTATTTATATTCACTTTTATTTTATTTTATATTTTTCCTCATGTAGATGGGTGCCTGCATGACTACTGCATGGCTAAAATGGAATAAACAAATAGAGAAAACAGAAATTCAAAAGATTTTTCCCATTATTCAGACCTGTAGATATGTAAGCTTTCCTGAGCCATGGTACTCTTTGCTTGGAAGAAATTATGTCATGCTACTCTTGCTGCTATCATCCACAATTGTCAGTGGAGCCCAAAGTAATTTACTTTCCATGTTATAAGTACCATTTTTTTTTTTTATGTTAATCTAGAGCTTTTTTTTTTTTTTTCCCCCCCTGACATGTCTTTTTGCTCTGCCTTTTTGAAATTTTACCATAATACTCTGTACTAAGTATTCCTCATCCTTTGGCATCTTTTGGGTTTGACAACCTTGAACAAAGATGTGTTAGGATTTTGCTGAAGAGAGCATCAAAAATGTACATTTTTCACCTCTGGTTGTGAAGGAGAATCTTCTGTCACAATGGAAAGGAATGCTTACTGCTCTGACACGCGACTGCATGTGTCACAACAGCTGCACCTCTCCTCCTCTCTCTTACACAAAAATCTCGTGTGTCTTACCTTGTCCAGACAGGCTGTCTTGGTCCACTTCCTCGAAAGGAGGTTCTGCTATGTCAGTCAGTTCTTGCTTCTCTTCAGCTTCCCTCTCCCCGTCTCCGGCGGGCAGGAGATCGGGAGTGGTGGGGCTGCCCGCGGTGGCCAGCTCCACCGGAGACCCATCGCCAGCCGCGGGGGCATCCTTGCCAGCCGAGTCATCTGCTGGGGGAGGTGAGTAGGAATCCTCTGATTCTGGAGGACTGCTGGTGCTACCCAGAGCACTGAAAGGCACTGTGAAAATTGGGTGGTCGGTAGCAATAACTTGGGTGTATGGATATCTGTCCTGATATGGTTCTCTGGAGGGTTTGGTAGGAAAATCAGGTTCAGATGTAATGAAATTATTAAATTCTTCAGGGATGCTGATTTCTTCACTTAGAGCAGGGCTTTCAGTTGTAAATTCAGCAAATACATCTCCTCTTTGGCCCACTGTTGCTGGACTGGGATAACCTAGTGGGGGTTCCTCCTAAAAAAGTTTTAAAAAAGCAGCTTTCATTATTATGTTTGAGTTTCATTGCTAAAAAGGCAGTAACCTTTAGCCACATGAGCTAGCAAATAGCTAAATCAACATGGAATTATATTTTAGGTTGGGTCAGAAGGAACCTTAGAGGTCATCTAGTCACAACCCCCCCTGCCATGGTAAGTGGCATCTTTCACTAGACCATGGTGCTCAATGCCACATCCAACCTGTTCTGGAACACTGCCAGGGCTGCGGCATCCTTAACCACCCCAGGCACCCTGTTCCAGTGTTTCACCATCCTCACACTACAGAACATCTACTGCATAGCTAACTTAAATTTCCCGTCTTTCAGTCTGAGCCCATTTTCCTTGTCCTGTTACTACAGGTCCTGAGAGGATCTGTCTGGCAGAGCCCCTCTCCAGCTTCCCTGCAGGCCCCCTTCAGATACAGGAAGGCTGCTACGAAGTCATAGGATGTGTAAAATGGCATGTAGATCTGATCCTGATCACAGTTCCTATAATTTTAAAAGTGATCAAAGAAAGATGACTTTAACTAGCCCTGTAAACTGCCCTCTTCTGTCATTAAGATGACTGAACTGATGAGACGCTGCTTACTTTGTAATTAAATCTGGAAAACATAATCAAGCAGTAATATTCACCTGTGCTCTGAACAGTATCCCTGTTGCAGTAAAACAACACAACATTCATCCTTACAGAATGTACAAAAGGCACATATGTTATTCCAGCACAAGAAACTTTTTGTATGTTTATCTACCTCTTAACACTTTTTAATTTCTTTTCCCGTGGAGAAATAAATAAACACCAAAAACATAATTAACCTACCAAATCAGGGCCTGCCAGAGGAATAGTGACCACGCCTTGGATATCATTGTCTAAATCACTAGGTGGTATAATAGCTTCTGCAAAGAAAATCATAAACATTAGAAAGAGAGATAGCAGAGAGTACTTCAGCACCAGCACATTGAAAACTGATCAAAACACATAAACTCAATTAAAAAAAAAGTACTAAAATGTTCTCCATCAAAAAATTGCTTTAAAAAATCCATCTAAAGACAAAAAAAGCATCAATTCCCATTCAAAAAGGCAATTATGAAGAAAACCAAACTTTATATGCACTATTCTTCATATGCTTTATTTAGCATAAATGGGATAGGTCTGCAGAGAGCTGAACCATAGAGGAATGCTTAAAATCACCTGAAGTGTGAACCCCTCAGTTAAATCCACATGGACTACAATGACTCATTATATTGTGTTCATTAAGCCTCAAGTCATTCCAGTTTTACCCTGAGTCTACACCGTTGTTAATGTTGGTGTTTTGGCTTTAGTGCTCAAGTTGCTCCTTTCACCTCTCAGAGCAGATCTGAAAAGTACTTGCATGCAAACTGTTTTTCAAAAATTGGTTAACAGAATTAACTACTGGGAGAGAGTTGATTAAAATATTTATTATTGAAGTGTTCTATGTAAATTTTTTTCTTGGAACTTTTTATCTACATTAAAATATGACACTTTATTCTTACAGAAAGTATTAGTTCAACTGAATAAATTTTTTTTGGCAAGAAAATGCTGCTGTTCACAAATGAAACACTGTAGCTAAAATTTGGTATGGGTTTTGAGGTTGTTTCAGTAAATATGCCTATAAAATATTTAAAATTATTTTCCCCCTTTTAAACCCATCTCTCCAAAAGTAGCTTGCTAGCTTTGCAAAAATCATTGATGAACTAGGAAGGGTTATTTATTGGCTGGATTACTGAACAGGGTGTAGACCTTCAGCTTCTGCTGGAGGTTTTCACACCCAGCTTGTCTTCTACACTCCTTCTGTATTTGAGAGTGTGAGTGAAACACATCTTTACTGATTTTATCTTTGGACCAAGTGCTGTTTAAGGTGTCAATCTCTCTGATGCTGCTGAGAGGTTAGATGGCTTGCTTACAACCAAAACAGCTTTCAGAAAGCTAATCTGATATTAGAGGCAGATTTCACTTTTTTTTCTTGTTAAAGAAAGGAGAGTGTCCATACTAGAAGTTAAAATGATACAGTGAATACTCATAGTATTTATTTTATTTTTCTCCTCTTAATGATCTTAGTGCGCAAAAAACCAAAAAAAACAAGAAAAAAAGTCTAATATTGTTGCAAGTTAGGCCGTATAAAGACACATTTTACTATGAAACTTATCTTATTTCAACACCAAGGAGAATGGACTATGTCAGATGAAAATAATCTGTTAGAGACGCAAAGGACACCTTACTGAAATTGCATTAATATGGGAAGGCAAGATCCAGGCTTATGCCTGTCACCTGGCACCTGCTTTACTGACCATCAGTAAACCGAAGTGTTCCAAGATCCACTGGCAGGGACTGGTCTTCATGCAGTGCAGTGGCAACCAGCTGCTGAAGGTCTGTCACTGTCAGTTTGGTTGCTGATATTTCTCTCTCTTCAACTGGAGAAATTGGTATTTTTTCGCTTTCGACCTTATTAGATCCAATAGTTGAGATGTCATCTGCTGTGCCTTTGGTTTCTGAGCCATCTCTCTCAAAGTTCACCACGTATCGTGCTACTGTGCTGCTGGATCTGCAAGGGGGAAAGGCGAGAATGCCCAGAGCAGCAAAATCAGTCACTGGCTGAGAAATGATTTTCCGCACAAACAAATCTGCAACCATAACGTATTCTGTTAGAGTAATGCAAATTTACTTCTTTCTAATGAGACTGTCACCTTCAAATTACTTTCCTTTCACCTAACTCCTTTTTCCCCCACGCATAACTTTTAATAAAAATTCCCACATTGAAGATAATTGCAAAAATCTTTTAACATAATCTGATTTAATCTTACTACTCAGAAATCTGTAGAGCTGGTAACATAGTCTGAAGTCCTTGACTACTGATTCAAACAGCTATAAAGGCACACTGGGGTTATTAGAACTCATAATCACGCATTAATTATACAGGAACCTATGAAAAGGGATTAGATAGTTCATAAAACCGCAGATAAGCAAAAATCTTATCACAAGAGAATTTTTTTGCTCTTTTTCAAAGAACAGCAAGCTAATGTGGCAAGCAAATCACTTTTTCACAGTGGGAGTTAGCTTTTTAGAGCCCAAATGGGTGTGTATGGCTTCTCCCTAGATATTCATGCTTAACAGAAGTCTCAAATAGTCACCACTTTTAATACATCATTTTTTATACATGTTAAATTCACCTAATTAAATGAAAAATAGTGAGTATATTGTAAACATTTCTATTCCACTGTGTTACTTTTTTTTACAATGTCAAATAACAATAGAGAGAAGAATTTCACTTTTATCTAGTGTGTGCTATATATTTGCATTTATATGACATAGCAAGAATTCAGGAAACACATTAGAAAATTCTTCCTTTTAAATAATGAGCAAAAGCGAAATTCTGGGAAACTGCTAGACAAATTATTCCCCAGCAGCACTTTTAAGCAGCAACAACAACAGACTCTGCAGCTGTTTGTATTACCAGTGAAAATCTCCCTGCATTTCATCAAGTTAGTAACTGGTCTCTTTGCTATTCTATCTCGCTTGATAATGGAGATAACAAATCAAATTCCACATACTTATTGGAAATATTGTGTACATGGGAATACAGCTAGGAAACAGCAGATCAAAAATGAAGATTTGAATATAAAGTTTTCCTACTTATTTTTCACTTTCAGTATACAGCTGGTATAAATCTTTAGTCATATAAATGTGAATTTTCTTAGGTCAAACATTTTCTTTTCTTCAGAGACATCCTGACAAAATTTTATTACATGAAACATTCAGATTAAAGGTGTCCCTGACAATTTATAGCACAGATTTTGTACTTAGGTGGAACACAACCAATTCACTTTGTCACATCAAGATAAAGACATTTAATGATTAATCTATGTACACCATAAAATAATTAATAATAATAATTATTATAGTTATGCTATAAAACAATTATGAATGACAGATTACCCATCTTTCTCCTTCTTCTGTCTTCATTTTGTCGCAGAATAAACAATGTGAGAAAGGAATGCAAAAGAAAGAAAAACAAGGATTCATGTTTACTGGCAAATCATTGTCACATACCATCTTTTGACAATTTATCTTCTATCCATCATCTATAATTTTTATCTCTGTGTGAAAATGACAGTCTACTTTCCATCAGTTCACTTTTTCCTTTCCAACAATGGGAATCACTGTGGTATGTGTGGGGAAACAGGAATTTTACTTTATCATGGCAGTCTGAAATATCAGCCTTCCTGTTTCCAAGGTCAAATGGTGCAGTTTGAGCCCTGTCATTGCTAATCTCTGTGGTGGCAGTGGGCACTTGTGGCAGTACTTTCCATGATCATGGCTACCACCCATGATGTCTACTCAGACTGTAGTCACAGTGGTTACTTGAACCATTAATTACCTCTGGAAGACATGCCTATGTTGACCTTTTACACACAATGCCCAGTTATTTTCCAGCCTATGATGTTGTCTTCATTGCCTTGTGGGAAATGCTGCTAAAATAGGTAGTACTATGGCCAAGGCAGAATGGACAGCAACACCCATCTTTGCTGATCTGAAACTCCCAAAGCTGACCAAATTACTGGATAATGGAAATACCATTTTTCCACACTGGTGAATGTTCTTTCATACCAGCTAAGTCCAAGATATGAAACCAAAATGGATCCCAGGCCTCCTGGAGTCACAACTAAATGAGGTTAGGTACTGCAAGTTGTACCTATGAGATGCTAGTACAGATTTTCTCTGCTTGTACTGCACAAGGCAGCTTTCTGCTTTATTAATTTCAATATAAAAATACAAGAAACCAAATTTCAGATTATTTTGCTCTTCCCTCTCCTTTTCTCATGCAATTTTTGCAGAGAGAAATGCTAGGAAGAAGGATGTTCTTGTCCAAAATTGCATTGCAGTGAGTGTTCTTCAACATGTATTAAATATTGCTAGAAGTACTGAGTGTTTCTGATGCTGTGCCATAAGACCACATAAATTTGTCTTTTTTCCCTGCTCTCTTTCCTTTTTGCAGTTTCTTACTATTATTATTTGCTTTTTATTTGATTTTTATGCAATGTCCTCCCCCTCCCCTATAGATTTTCTATTCTCTGAAAAAGTACACAAGAGGTTGTGTTAGTTGTAAACGCACAAGGAAGTTAAAACTAAAAGAAATGGCAAGACAGAACACAAATTTACTGAAAAGGTGAAACTTTTAAAATTGTTTTAAAGGCCTGAGAAAGAACTACTGAAAAAGTATTATATGTGTGAACACATATCCTCCTGCAACCCTCTCTTGCCAAGGCATCTTCACTGGGACTTATGAAGGGAACCAAAAAGTTGTTACCTAAATAATCACGCTACTAACCCTCTTTATCTTGTCATTTAAGAAAGTCCTTAATACAGGGTTGTTAACAAAAAATTCAAAGAATTTATTGTGTCCTTCAGGCTTCAGGGGAATCAAAGCTACTTTTGCTACTCCAAAACCTCATAGTCTCACTTGGGATGTGTCTGCAATTCCTGTCATATTGTCCCTGTGATATTCCCATAAAATTGCTTTCTTTTACAGCAATACACATCCTACTGTTCTCCAGGTCTCTTCCTTTTTGAGGATGAGAAGAAAGAGTAGAACCCTGGGAGCCAATAAAAAGAGAGCCCCATTTTTTACTTACTTGAATCCTAACACACGGATTTCTTTGAATCCTGGAAGTTTCTCAAATATTTTTTTCATCTATAGAAAACCATAAAAAAAATTCAGCATAAGATCTGTGACTAAAAGGCAATCACAAAATGACTACCTAGACAATATTTTTCATATTTCAGAAAGAGCTTTAGGAAACAGTCTCGACTGCGCTGTTTTGGGTATCATAATTGCTCAGCTCAAATACAATATTTGCTTCTCATATACTTGTTGTATTACCTGTTAATAGGCAAAAAGAAGTACAAAACATTGCTTTTCTTAGTAATGTAATTATGCAAACAAGTGATCATCTATTTCATAACATGGCAAGTAAAACAACATGAGTCAAATGTTTTTTTTAATTTTCAGTAGTTTTGCTTCATGAATAATTTTGTGATTCAAGTCACCTGTAAATTGTTAATTATTTAGAAATATTAGGCAACTGCGGATGGGTTTAGATTATCTGACAAATCATTTAGAAATTAAACAGTTTTGACTGTCTTGTACAAACAGAATAACAATACATTTTAAATTCTAATGTTAACAATAGTATAATTACATGGTTTTGAATAGAAGAATAGAAGAGGCATTACATGTGTACTACACAATGTCTGCAGGCACTTCTGTCTGAGGGTAATACTGAAAATCTACAGAGAAACCATTTTTTTGCCAGCTCTGCCAATGCATCCTTTACCATTTTTCTACACATATCTGGAACTGAACCAGGAAAGAGAAATAGCTTCCACTAAGGAATGCTCATGAAACTGATGAGAGGCTTTAGTTAATTTTACTAAGAGAACCTTTCGGGAACCTCAAATCATTAACTGCTATCAGTTAAACTGATAGCTGAACATTCAGTTAATATTATTAACTGTATGAAAATATGACAGATGTTCCAATCCTTACATAAACCGTGGTAAAGCACAATGAGTGTATGTCCTTTGAAGAATAGTTCAGACAACAGTAGCTAATTACTTTTAACGTTTATATTACATTTCTCATTAGGTTTATTGTAGAAATTAAATTATGACAAAGTGCTGCCCACGAGTTCCTGATTAAATCTGAACAAAATTTCTAAAGTTATTCTGTTCATCTGTTATCTGAAGCTTCTACTGATGTCAAACTTGTTGGCTTGTTAGATTGCTGGCTGAATAGATGGCTTAAATGAGGGGCCAAGCTGATACTGCACATGAAGAAAACGTGAAGGTCTTGAGAAAACAGGAATTATCTGCTTAAAGTGAGGGCAGCAGATTCTAATCCTATTTTGTGGTGAAGATAATTTCATAGTATGAACCTCAGCCAAGGTACAAAACCAACATTTTTTGCATTCATGAGGTGTCCCTACCTGTAGCTGAAATTTGGCAGCTAGTTGTTGGTACTCTGGGGAGTTGGGGTCACTAAGTTCAGCTGTGTACTCCTGATCAGTGAGAGTCACACTGAATTCCACCATTTGCTCCACAGGCAATTCAGGGACTGCATTTGTTCCCAGCTCCTGGAAAAGGCAAGAACAAAAAGGGAAGAAATAAAACTAAGAGATATTTCCCCCCCCCTCCAAAATTCAGTATTTAGTAAATAGAAATATTCCCCTTTAAGCCCATCCCCAAAATAAGTTTCTGAACTACATTCCACAAAAGGTGAAAGTTCCTAGGGATATCTATTGGCTTAATTCTTCTCTCTTTGCAAACATGTTTCTATCACTTTCTTGCACAGAGACTGTTACCAAGTCTTAGTTTCATCATCATAAAGTCACACAGCTGTTTCATGTTCATAGGTTTGCATTTGTTTTTTTGCTGACAATAAAATGGAGTTATCCCTACCCATGATACACCTTTTTTAATGCAGTTGACTTTGCTGCTATTAAAAGCTGTCGTATTTTGTTTGCTGTTTCCCAACAGTATTTGCAGCTTTTCCCTGCACTGTGAGGCCACATGTCTGTGCTGAGACCACAGAAGCCAGGACAGGGAAAACAATAGCCTCTTCCAGCACCCCTCCCCTCTCTCAGAGGTGTCTCTTCCAGCAGATGCTGTTAGTGTGCAGAGGGGCAGTCCCCAGTGTCCTGCTGCATGGCTGCTCCGAGGAGACAGCAGTGGAGAACCCTCTGACAGCTGGCTGGGCAGAAAAAGGTAAGGAAGGCCCAGTCCTATCTCCTGGGTCGTGGAAAGCTCAGCAGGTATTCTTTTTTGGCATTATTTAATGAAGGGCAACATTACAAAATGGTGCAAAATAGGCAACGTTCCTTAAAAGAATGAAAACTGCCTAAAAGCTGGTTGCCATGCTTTTGTACTTTCTACTATATACTCAAAAAGCATCATGCCCTACTCCATTATATAACAGATATAATAAACCCCTTCAGTCCTGCTAGCTGAAACAGAGGGGAGCACTTCTTTTTAAGCACTGTTTATGAGGTATCTCCCTCTTTCCTGTTAGCTGAGCTCAAAAGGAAAAGGTGAGTGAAAAAGTGGGTAGGAACACAGGCTGCCCTCACCTTCACAGGAGTCTTTGTGTCATTGAAAATTTCATTGAGCAATGTGCCATTAGGTGCATACGGAGAGAGGGGTATGCCAGGAGAGCCTGGGCGGGGGGAAAGAAAGAAAAGTCAGGAAAGAACAGTTTGCGCATCAAAAGTCTTCCCCTTTGTGTGTTGGTCAGGGGTCAGCTCACTGGAGCAGCTTTCCTTCAGGAGGGCGTGCTTGAGCACAAGCCTGTGACAGTGGAAGGTGGCCATGACTTAGGGTGTGGGAAAAGCTGCTGCATTTTGTACAATAGACAACCTTTCTTCCAGGTGAAACCTTAGTACAGTGGCACGTGTGTGACTGAAGGCAAAAATAGCACTAACTACGCAACAATGAAATTGTGTGAGTTAATAATATTTGGTCATTTCCTGTCAGGCCACATCATGTATCACCAAGTGTCTAGGCTTAATTTTGCCAATTGGGATCTTTGTCCATATGACAGCCACTTTTCTTTAGGGCTTAATTTAAGGTAACAAGAGATGTTGACAGAGTTTTCCACCTAGAGGCCAAATTACCATGCTGGAAGTCCTTCCCAATAAAATTCTTTCATATTTCATAAGAATATATGTTCAGGATTGTTTCTCCTTGAACCCAAATGATCATATTTACAGATTTTTATCACTTTGTGAATTGCTAACATTATTTTAAAGAATTGAAGTACACAACAGGCCTAATTGTAATAAATGGATCCATTTATTGTCTTGGCACCACTCTGACTTTCTTGCTTGTCAGTGTTTATTTGCCTTGCTTGCTTATTTTGGTTAACAAAATGCAGCAGTTGACATTCTACATGGTATTTTTTAACTGAAGAAAAATTAATGCTGTATTATCCAAGTTTGAAACTAGGTAAACACATACATTTGAAGACAAACTGAATGCAACATTTGAGTAGCAAATATGTTGTAAAGAGATAAAAAAAAATTATTTTGCTTAAACATTTTCACTCCACTGAACTGTTGTAGAAACATTCGACAACACTCATTAAATTATAGCCTTCTAAGACCTAAGAATCATTTGCCTTAGCAATTTTATTTAACAGGCAGACACAGAACAAGCAGATTTAATTTTACCTGTAGAAACAGAGGGAATGTCTTCCACCTTTTTGCCTCCTGTTTTCTCTGCTGATATTTCATCTTTCCTATCAATCAAATAGCAATGAGTGATTTACCTGCATATTGTACCGGCAATGACAAAAGTGTAAAACAAAAACATATAGAAATGATCCCTATATTAAGCGTAGTTTAAATGAGAGAAGCTCTCTCTAACAGAACATTTTGTGGCCTGATGAAACAGGCAGTGGAACAGCATAAGGACTACCAGTCCTGTCATGAATCTGCTCATGAGGTTTTGTGACAGATTTTATCAATGCCTTCAGAGGGATGGGATCACAGAGATTAAATCAGTGCACTCTGTCTGGTTTTTTTTTTGTTACTCTTGGAAGTCATTGAAGGGTTGTAACCACTGTCTAAAATGGAAGCAAGGCTTCTTGTACGTCACCTAAATCAGCCTTTGTCTTCTTTGCTATTTCTCATCCTATCAAGGTAGCTCAGTGAGGGCTTTGGGATTCTTCTAATTTTAGAGCCAATGGACATTTCAGGTTCCAGGTGTGTTTCATATGGTGTGGTGTGAGACAATAGTGGGTGGCCTTATTTTTCATTTGTCAGCCTGCATTATAATACCATAAGGATGCTTCCAAATAATTATAGCATGAACTCAGATTCCTGAATCCAGATTATATTGAGATGTAGGAATGTTAGTATTTGCTTCTGGATGTAACAATCACAGGTTAATGCTTACCATGGTTGCCAAGGAGGGCAGATAAAAACTCAAGTAAGAATATGGTGGGTATGATGTATTACAGGATTTGGTTTGGTTTTGTTGATAATTATTTTCTGGTTTGAGTTTTACAGTCATGTGATGATGAACACACTTTTAATAGCTACTGTTAGCTTCCTTGAAAAACAGCAATAGTATCCATCTCTAAGTACATTTAAAAATAAATAAATGTATTAAAGATTCTTTTACTTGGAATAGAAATTGGTCTACAGCCTTAAAACCAAATTGTTATTAATTTGTAGTTTTTGCGAAAATTTAGGTTCTTAGATAAGAATCTTCTAAGGGATATTTTGAGATTTTTCTCTCCTGAAATTGGGGAGTAAAGTATAATTCCTCAAATTTTACAGTGCATACAGATGGAGTATTTGTGAAAACTGGCATGAATGAAAGAAATAAGGGCACTGCAAATGTGTAGTATGGTGTTAACTGAGACAGCATAAAGCTTGTAGCATAGACAGAAAAGGTGTCCTGAGCTACAGGAACAACATAAATGTTTAATAACATAAATAAAGACCATGAATGAATGACAACCGATTTACCACCTCCCCTGGATATCTTGTGTGGTGAGAACTAAAGTAATATTTGCAATGTTTTCAGAATGTTAACTAGTTATGTGTTGGATCTATACTTGGAGACTGATTTCTCTACATGACATCTACAGAAGATACAAAATATTTTCTAGGCCACACGGTAGTAAAGATTAAGTCCAACCATGCATAATCATTGCTGTCTATATTTCCAGCTAAAATACAAGAAATTTCATGGAATTAAATTCACCTTCAGTATTGTGCCTAGGGAAAACAGTACTGTTCACAGAGAACCTAAGAACTCTGAGATCAGTCACTTCACTTAATGCCTTGCTGCTGCTGCTTGCACCAGGATGAATGAAAAGGTCTCCCTTTCGACTTCCAGGGGAGTTCAATTAGGCCCTGCATCACTAAAAATATGTCAGATCTCCCATGTCAGAATGAATTAAGATACAGAAGGTCTCTATGATCAGGAGAGAGTGTAACCTATGAATGGAAAAGATTATTTGCCTGAAAATCTCTTGAAAAACAGAGAAAACTTGAAGGAAAAAACATCAATCAGAAGTAGTGGACAGTGATTTTTCTGGCTGCACTGTAGTATTTCTATACAGAGAACCAGAGTTCAGTATGGTAGCTTTAATCCTGCCATTCCCCAACTTCTGAGCATTACCAGGAGCATACTTTTCCCAAAGAGTTTACAGAATAAAGTATCACATCAATTAACACTGTCATGATGTATAAATACAGGAGAAATCTAAAGTGAAGGCAAAGAGTTTCCATGTTATTATTTAAAGTAGTCCGTCAGCTAAACTTTTATTAAGCTGACTTTCCTTTTGAGAATTACAGCAAGTTTTGTCACACTCCCAATCAACACTAGCCTAATGCAAAGCCTCTGTCAGGGTTTCATGCTCACATTAGTCTGAGAAAACATTCAGGGGTGTCTTGAAATGAACAGGTAACTCAGACATGGCCATATCCATTATTTGTGACTCAATTACTGTGTCCTATGATATATCCAGTACACACATCTCTCACAGCACACACCAAATATGCCACAGTGCTATCTGAATATCTGCTCACATCCACACACATCTACACATATCTTTACAAAGGAGGCAGTAACATCAAGTGCAAGGTTCTACTTGTGCTACTTACCTTTCCTGGAAGGTTCTATGTTTTACTCGCTGCAAAAAGATTAAGAAAAACAGCATTTTACTAGTGGGTGTATCCAACCATTGAGCCTGTTATCTCTTTTGTTTACTACACTTTTACGTTTTCCTTCTAAGACACACCCCCTCCTTTTCCTGAGCAATACTTTGCCCTTAAATAAGCAGGTGGTGAGGGACTTGGAAATCTCTCCCAGTTTCTAAACAGATGTCAGTAATCCTTACCCGTTGAATTATTTCCAGGTGCTCTTGGGAATTGCTGAAGTTTTTCCCAATGTCGAATATGCAAAAGGTTTCTCTCTGGCAGGCAGTAACCCAGTTCTGATATTCAGAAGTATCAGGAATCCGATCCAGAAAAATACGAAAGGCTTCCCACACAGCTTCCTGGCAGACTGAGGAAGAAGAAAGGGGCTGGGGATAGATGCTTTGCACCAAATAGTAAACTTGGAAGCCTTTTAACAGTGATTTAGCATTTACACATTGTCACTCAAGATGAAGGAACATACTTCAAAATGTTGCTTAAAAATTCTTTTAGAGAAGGGGATTTTCAAACTTTTCAGAAACACCATTTTAACCAAAACTTGCTGGTAATTTAAAAGCTGTTGCCTTTAGCACTTTACTTTGCAAAGCTCATTACTGTGAGATGGGATGTTTATTTTCAGTACTTGATACCTACTTTGGCTTAGAGTGAGTTCATTATCTGCATTATCTAAAATATGGGTGTCTCTGAAATTAGTGCAGTAAGTTTACTCTAAACTTGCTGCAGGGATGTACTCACCTAGCTGTGTTAGGGCCCCTCAATAATACCTCAGGAACGACCTGCCCTCCCAGTAGAGCAGCTGCATGTGGAGCAGATGTGGTCAGGTTATTAAAAAGGAACAGGCTATCTTTTGAAGAGATTTATTTATTTATTTATTATGAGCTAGCTATTAAAGCTACTTTCTATCTCCTTTTTCTTGCAACTCTCTGGTATTTGTTTTTCTGAGCAGTTACTGCTGAATAAAGATATACCATCAGATGATAAGTAATCCAGTTACCAGATAAATGTGACACATGACCAGCTGAGGAGGCATTGTAGCGTGTTCTCCCAGTTTGCCCCGCACAGGGGCTGTCCTCATGGTGACCTAAGCTATGATGTGCATCTTCAGAGTTGGTATAAGGTCACAGGAGGCTGAAGTATCCTACAGCAACTGTCTGAGCTCCTACATCTGAGCTGTTTTGTGTTGTGTGCTCATCCCTGGAAGCACGGAATACATATATATGTAAAAAAAAGGATAAAATTGTCTAAATTTTCTTAGCAGAAATAAAGTCATCCTTTAGATGACTGATATGATCCACAGTGCTTTTTCAGTTACAAATGTGTCATGGAACTTGAAGTGGGAGAGGTAATCTCCTAGGCTTTAGACACATAAAAGGACTTGAAAGTATATATCTAGCACAAAGTGAAGGTAAGATTGTCCCACAGAAGGGTCCAGGTTCTCAGGCTCCAGCACGGCCACCAGATTGCCTTCACATGAAGGATTGTACTGTGGTAACAGATGCAAGGATTATTCTTGTATCACCATATTTTCAAGTGTAGCTTTTTTTTGTTTACATTTATCAGTTTTGTCAGATAAATTATCATGCTCAACTGGGAGGGCAGAAGTCTTTATCAGAAGTTCTGGTCTCTCCTTGAAGGAAAATTTTTTTGACATTTTGATGAAAAAGACGTTGTAATGGAAAATATGCAACTGTTCAAGGGAGCAGAAACATCTTTTTATGAATGAGTGTACAAATTATTTAGCTGCAGAGCGTGTTTTGTTGCTTGTATTTTGGGAAGTGCTCCAGTTTCAGTTGAAGAACTGGATGATATCTGCTTAGAAAATTTTGTGAGTGTAGGATGCTGCTGGGGAAAAGGAGTATTTAAGTTTAAACCTTCTTGCACTACAAGACTTATAGAGTCCAATATCCCAGCTGATGTGCTGCTCTCCAAAAAGCTGGTAGTACTGTCATATTCAGTTTTTTAAATTAAAGGGTCAAAGTTATAATTTTTTTAGTTCAGGTTAATGATAACTGTCTGTTTCAGGATAGCTGTTTTCAGCCCAATCTGAGATGTAATCAGGGAGTTTCAGGGACTTTGAGGATTAATTTCTATTTAAGAAATGCTTTTTGGATCAGCCTCTGTGACACATTTCAGATTTCTGTCTAATGCCCATTGGATGCTACAATGAATATCAAATATTTTTATGTCTATAGGAATAGCTAGAGATATTAGCATATCTCAATGCTGGGTGACCCCAACACGGGGAATAATGTTCTCTGACTCCATGATTTAGAAGGCTGAACAAACACTTTATTAAGCCAGATTATATTACATTACATACTAATACTACACTATACTATACTAATACTAAACTACACTAAAGAAAAACCCACGACCCTTTCAGACAGTCACGACACAGCTTTGACCTAATTGGTCAATCAGTCCAAACAACCATCACCTGTGTCCAATTAACAAATCCCTTTCTGTAAACAAGCTCCACAACACATTCCACATGTGCCAAACAGCAGGCACAGCGAATAGAGATAAGAATTGTTTTCTCTTCTCTCTCTCAGTTTTCTCACTGCCTGCCCCAGGAAGAATCCTGGGAGACAGAATTATGTCTCTCTCTGTTCAAAGAGTATGTGAATGCCACAAGTGTAGTTCTCTCATGCTGCCTATAGCAAGTGGATGGTGCAGTAAAATTTTTGAAGCTTTACCTCCAGGTCTCATTTCAGAGGGAACAAGTTGGTTCCCCCAAAAGAGAACTGAGGAGCAGCCAGGTTACACAGATGAATGTGAACAGATTGTGTCTGATAGAGAGATAAAAATAGGGAAAGGTGATTTAGGGAGTAGATGTTGCCTTAGATACTTGCATCCCAGAAATTCTGACTAGGTTTTAGAATTTGCTTTGGACCATCCAGCTGCAGTGCAAACACGCATTTTTCAAATACAAAATAGAACTGCTACAGGATGAAAGACTGAGAGGGGTAGATGAAGGAAGAGAGAAAATTGGTAAAGAGAGAAAGTATGGTAACTCGATAGGCTTTCTATAGCCAAGGGAAGTAAAAAAAAGAGCTGGGAAGTGACTGACCTAGTTGAAAAGTCTTATTTTTAAAACGTCTCAAATATTTCTTCTTCCCTAAGCTTTTTTCATGACTTGCTAGCAATTATCTTAGTGTTTATTGTATACCAACACTGCCACAGACTTAGTATAACTACAGATACACCAACACTATTGTGCAATCACCATTTAATAATTCCAATACTTGTCCTAAACTGATGGTACCTGCTTTTTTGAGAAAGGTGGTGCTTCTTTCACCACTAATGCAAGCACAATTTGTTCTTTGTGTTCAGCTGTGCTAGAACACTGTGCAATTACTCTGAGTTCATTAGTCCTTTGAGTACATTGTTTTATTTTCTTCTGGTAACTGTCTATCTTGAACCCTGCTGGTGCACATGTAACATTTGGTTATCTATGTGAAAATAAAGCATAAAGTCAATAGCATATACACTGCCTAAAGGTGAAGAACAAGATTCTGGAAAATTACTGTTTCCTCAGTTAAAGGAAAGACTTTGAAGGAGGAAGTACATACTACAATAATCATCTTACCTCTTAATCTATAGTAAGCTTGGTGACTGGCTAAAATCTGCTTCACTGATTCTTGTGGGCAAACTTTCACACCAGTTGAGAAAAAGGATGACCTCTTTGTTCGGTGTTTTGCCATGTCAAATATCCGCCTTATGGTTGATATCCTGGACCGCTTTGTTGTTCTTTCTGTTTTGTCTGATCCTGAGGTGACTGCAAGATGTTTGGCTTCAGCACGGTTTATTTTATCAGGAATTTCTGTAAAAACAATAAAGTACATAAACATGCTTTGCCTAGGCAGTATGTATTCAATGCAAATTCATGTCTTAAAAATGGACATGAACTTGAGAATTCTTTTTGCTACATTATAGTGGAGTCAATGCACTGATGGAGCAATTGTGCTGAGGAGAAGCAGCCTCTGACCCCTCAGGGGAAGTGCGGCTCAAGTGGCTTGGTAACTAATTTCCTTGTATTTCACCACGTGAACCCAGGACACACAGGGTAAAAGTTTCAGAAGATCTAAATCCTGTTTTCAAAAGTGACTTTGGATTAGATCCACAAAAGACACTTAAGTGCTTGAACTCTGTGCTACAGTATCTCATTTGTGAGCACATCGCCCTGTAGGGAAATTTACAGTACAGTGATAAGTAGTGTCTACACTAGCAGATAAGTAAAATGAGAAATTGTTGTACCTTAAGTCTTTAAAATCTTATCTTTCCTTTGGGCTTCAAGGAACATCTCCCTTCAAATCAGGTTCATAACCTTGAAGCTATCCTAAGAACTAGACCCTGAAACTTTCAGAAGTTGAACAGGAGTTTTATTACCTTTGGGAAAAGAAAGACCTGTTTCCAGTCTCTCTTTTACTCCTCAATGCACTCCTCTCTGCTTCCATCACATAAACTGAAGTGTTAACCAGAAAAGACTTTGATTGTTTCTTTGCAACTGGATGTCAGGTGTTGTGAATTCTCTGGCATCATATTTCAGAAAACCTTTAAATGTTCCTGGCGAAGTGGAACAGTTACAGTAGAAAATAGTGAAATCGGTGACTAGGAATTGAAGACCTGGGATTAAATTTTACTTATGAAGTTATTCAGTTATGAAAAATAGAAAAGCTTCCAGGCTGTCAAGATAACATCAAGCAGAGGAACCTCCATCACAAAAATTCAGGACTCATCTGGTTACACTTCCAAAGTATTTGTGTTGCAGTACTACATGACATAGCAGCTAAATGTAATGTGAAAAAATTAACATTAAAAATAGTGCATAAATACAGTTTTAAATGAGCTGAAATACATCCTTTTGCAGGATCATGTGACAGGAGCAATGAGTATCTTTTAAGTTATCTTCCAAAATTTTGTATATATGTTAATAAGATGTTAAAGCAAATTTGGAAATACCCTTTTTTTTTGCTGTAATTTGATACAGTGATTTGATGCAGTAATTATAGATGAAAAATAAAGAAAAATATAAGCAGAATAGAAGACAATTTGAAAGAATTAGAAAGCTTTAAGCAAGGTATGTGTGTTCCTGAATCCTATGAATTAAGTGAAAAAAATTACTTTGAAAAATGGTTTTAAAGCTTCTAATGAAAGAATAAGGGGAAATAATAGGGTTGAAAAGGAGTAAGTTCAGTAGGAATAGCACTAGCAAGAAAAATAAGAGTAAAAAATTATCAGTTTGCTGGAGAAAGAAGTGTCATGCTGCATACAACAAATACTAATTATCCTGTTCTTAGGCAAATCAAGAGAAAATAAGGAAGGTTAAAAACACATTATCTTGACACTTTGGAGTAGTGTTAATTAAATGTTTAAAGAAAAGTGGGCAGATAAATGATGAGAGAAGAATAATTGAAAAACATACTTTTATAAAAAGAGCACTATATGAAATGAAGAATTGGGAACGTTCTACTATGTATATCTGTGTGTCTCAATTCTTATTTAATTCCAAAGGAAACATCCATTGTTTACTGTGTAGAAATCATAGTACTAACATTTATATTTTGAGATAGGTGCTACTCTCATATGGAAAAAAGTCAACTGCTTGGTTGTGACAAATATAGTCTGAAAGAAAGGAAATTATAAAATAAAGGTAACAGGTCATTGTTATTACTTTTTAATGCATGCCAGGACAGTGACCTGGAGACCTAGGACTGCCTAACTGTTGCAAGGTAATTTAAAATGATCATGCAGTCATATTATGTTTGACATGAAATTAAATGGAAGTAATTTTTCCACATTAATGTCAGGTCATGGATGATAAACTGCATAAAGGGAATTTCCCCTGTGGAAACACATTGTTGGGTTCAACAGAATCCCCAAGTGGCCAAACACCAAGTGAGCTGAGACAGAGTTATTTGAATGTTATATGCAAATAACTGAAATCCTCTAGAAGAGAGAATCAAAAATCCACGTGGAAAGCAGCCAGTTGTAAGTCTATTACTTTCCACAAGGTGTATTAACTGAGATAGACCAGCTGCCCAGGCAGCCTGACCAGCGGGGGCAGAGGATTTTGTCACTAAGCTCTTTGATAGCTTTTGTATGGAGCAGAGGCATTTCTTGAAGGATTTGCTTCTCCTCCAGGATTTACCTCTAAGTCTTTAACTTGAATTAAGAATTTTACTATTCATAAAATTGACAAAGGAAATTCTTCTCAAATGATTGTTGTAATGATTTCAAAATCTCCGTGTCAGGGTCCCTATTTGGGCTTTTTATTCTGAGAAGCGACCAGTTATTTTCTGCTTTCAGTTTGCACTTTTCTGCCACTACTTAGAGTGGGTATAAATTTTTAAAATTATTTTTCTTTTCATTCTTTTCTTAAAGGCTTTTTTTTTTTTTTTTTTTTTTTAGGGATCTGTTTCTAAAGTATATCTATTGCAATGTGTTTAATTTACTTTATATCTTGTGGTTAGTAAATTTTTCTTACTAGAACAACTTTTATCATCATAATTCTTTGAAATCACTTTTTTACTAAAGCAAAATTTGAATTGGAGAAAGCATCAGCCTTTCTCTCCACATGATTTTCCAGTATGAATTTCCTAATATTTGCTGATTGTAATTGGAAGAAAACTTGCCTTCTGGCATAAACATTTCCTCATAATTCTTCAAATCTGTGTTTTCCCCTGTGTCTGTGGAAATTCTGAACTGAGAAATTTTTACCTAAGCCTCACAGATGTTTCAACCATGTGCTTTACTAAAATATGCCTCCATCTATACCTTTTTAGATGCTTTGATTTCAGTGTCCTGGGTTGGAAAAAAAAACCAAAAAGACATATGCTATTATGAAATGGAATCAATAGATATTAGTTGATCCCTTTTATTTTTACTATGCAACATAGCAATTGAATACACAAGAGTGATGAAAATATTACAGGCACATCATTTGATTATCTAAATAATCTAAATGCCGTTAGGTTGGTTAACTTTTCATAAAATAAATACCATCTCTTTGTTTTTCCTAATTCTTTTTTTAATGCAAGCACATGTAATTAAAATAGTCAGTGTTTACTGCAAATATACCCTGTCCAATTTGACTTTTTGTTATTTAACCCTGTTGTTTCACAGAGGTGACTGTCTCAGTTTTACTTTTAAAAGGTATGTTTAGGTTTCTTAGTTTTCTTTGATAGTTCTAGGGCAGAAGGACAGATAACTGTAGAAGCCAGATAATGCTTTAGTATACTAATCTCCAAGATGACTTAACCAAAGGTCTAATTCTCCTTTATTCTCGCATAAAAGAATCTACACCATGTCCAAATTTTCCAGGTGACATACTTGCAAAAAAATACTGAAGTAGTTTTACTGAGGTTATCTATAGAATCACTGTCAGCTGTTATTAAATTCTGGAGTTCCTGACATCTAGTCCTGAACTTAGACAAATATAACAAAATTTTTTCAAAACACCATAAAGCAATTTTCCAAATATGATGCAGCAATCTAATTCTTATGGGATCTAATCAAAGTGCTTTGATATCCATATCAATCTCTCATGTGCACAGTACTGCTCTTCAGGTTTTGGTTTCAGGCAGATAAATGGCATTCATTTCACATATTAAAAATTGGAAATTCTTCAAATTAGGCCAGGCCTCTTCTCTGTGTCTCTTGAGACCTGCATTATCAAATTTATACCCTAACAAAAACAACAAGGCAGGAGGAGCAGATTTCAAAAGCTCCTATATATTCTTAATAATCTGCTTGTCAAAAAAGTACATCACTATTGAAATGGATTCTAAAGAAAAAGTGTTTATAGTTATTCAGATAATTGGTCAGCTTTGGTTGTTTTTTAAAATTTGCTTTTATAAACAAAGGAGCAAGAGGGCCTTATTCATAACTTTTTTTTGCGTAAATGGAGTGGATGCTTCTCTATATAGCTTTATTAATTTTTTTTGTTAATAGTACTAGGTTTGGAAGGCCTCAAATTTTGGAGTTGGTAGTTGGAGTTGGAGTTGAAAGATTGCATTTTTCAGCAATGTAGATGATCTCTGGCTAGGAACATTTATATACAGTATTATTTTGCAGGTAAACCTTTCTTTTTATTTGACCTGAGAAAATTTAGATTTCATTGAATACAAAGAGAAGAATTAAAAATATGGTAACTAAGGATTTGCCAGCAAAATTCAAGGTAACAAAATTGTTGAAGTCTGAATAATTCATCATTAAAATCATCAAAAGGTTTGAAATGTGTGAAAAAGCAGATTAGTCTGAAAAATTAGTGCATCTTAGGATAGAGAAGAATGCTTGATTGATAAATGAGACATATTGTCTGCACAATAAAATAATAATTAAAAGACCAGGCTTATGTAAAGAGAAATGTCAAAATACAATAAGGAAAGCTTATCAGGATGGTTAATTCAGCAAAGATCCATAAACATGTTGAGGTTAAATTTATAGTGGGGCCAACATTTTGTTGATAATTGAGCCAGTAACAAAAGCATGGCTAGTGCTTTTCACAACTAGTCCTGAAAAGTTGATCTGGAGATTTCTGAGTCAGCTGATCAATGTAAACACCAGACTGAGCACAGAACGTACACAAAGGTAATACCTGGACTCAGAGGCACTCTCCTCATGGCTCCAGTGAGGAACCCACATTCTAATGGCACTTGCCAGTGACAGACAGGGTGCCCATGACATGTCCTCTCCTCGCATTCCTATCAAAATCTTTTTTTCTTTGGCTTTTTTTCCTCAGGTCTGTTGCATGGGAAGTGTCCAAATGGATTTGAAGGGGCTTAGATGAGCAGGGACATATTAAAATATGGCCAGGCTTTATCAACAAATGCTGCCTGCATCCTTTGTGCAGCAATCTCTATCTTCCATGCAGATGTGAAAGTGGAGGTTTTACTCTTGCTGATGTTCAGGGCTGCTATGCCAGTGCTTTGTCAGATACTGCTACTTTGACTGTGTTTGCCTTGCATTTCCAAGTGTGTTTTCAAAGCCATAAAGACACACAATTTTGAAAAGTTTAGGGTATGGAATTCCATACTGGAAAAATTATTGCTAATATTTAATCTGCTCTTGTCTGAGAGCTCCGTGCCCTTAAACCCAAAGTTTTGTGGCTTGCTTGAACTTATCTTCATGTCCAATGTGTTATTGCACTGTTTTTAATGCACATAGGGAGAGAACTTTGAAAGGAATTCCTGAGGGACTCAGCCATGATGATTGCTGCATCCTGGTGGGGCTTTTCTGGTCTGTAACGGGGGTAGCTGAGCCACAGGGGGGAACTCACTTTGGATCTCACTTCTTCAGGTTTGGTGCCCTTTGCCAGTGAGCTGCTGAGTAAGAAGCCAGTGTACACTACTCTGGGGAAGTTTTGCTGAAAGATAAGCTGCTGACACTGATGCTTAGCTTCAGTAGAAGAGGAATTGTGGCCAATAATGCCAACATTTCCAAAAAAGGAAAGTGGGCTAAGACATATACATTAAAAGTAAGTAATTATAATTTCTCAGAATGAATATGGACAACTATGAGCTTTGGAATTCCTATTTGGTATGCTGGCTTTGTAAATTCCATTCTTAAGTGTGACTAAACAGTAGCATTCCCTGTGGAATGAGGCTGGATCTCTAATTTGGCAGTTCTGCATCTATGGGGGACAGGTCCAGTTTGGAAGATCCTGTGTCTAGCTGGCTAAAATTCACTCATGAACTTCCTGTACAAGAATCACAAAGATGACGGCTACACACTCAGCACTACAGAACCCTTCCTGTACCTACTAATATCGTGTATTATGCAAGACTCAGCATCACCTTTACATGTCAGGGAGGTGCCAGGCTCTGCTTGTGCAATGTCTTTACACAAAAGACAAAATATGCCTGATTTCTGTGTCTCTTGCTTGGGTTCAGCATGACAAAACACCACCTTCACATATTCAGAAGTTGTGCTCAAGCTGTCTATGACACAGGAGAGGAGTCCCAGGCTTCTGCTTAAAAGGTAAGTTCTATAATTTTCAACATTTTAAAGGCTATGTTAATTTTTAAAATTAGATCTACACCAAGGAGTTTGCTTCTCAAGAATCTAGGAAAATGGTGGGTTTTAATGCATCCTGCTTCTTGTTAGAAACACGTGATAATTCTTCTTTAAATGTCTGTAAGAGGTGAAGAATTTTGTACTGTTAACATAGAGCTCTAATAAGGTAAGTCTCCCATGAATCTTTGTTATATATTCCTATTGTAATCCTTATGTTAAAAATATGAAATGTTTGGTTATAATGAAACAATCTACACCTCAGAACATGTATGGAAATAAATCT